TCCCTGGTTCTGCCCCCCCACACCCCCCAAAGAAAAGAAACAAAAAAATAAAAGAGCCCACTAACACAAAATTCCACTGTCCCTATTAGCCCCAGGCCCTCTCCCTTTTGTGAATGCAGGGGTGGGATTCGGTGTGGTGGCTGTGTTCCTCCCCAACAGTTCTGCACTATTCCAATAATAAAAATGACTACAACTTCTGGCCTAGTAATTCAGAGGTCCCATCCTAAATCAATTATCCAATACGAGTGTAATGATGATAATTACGGCATTAGAGACAATTAGAGAAAGAAATAATCCAGAAAGCACCAATAAATGATAGCAAATCCATTCAGTGGAATATTAAGAAACTAATAAAGAAAATGTCTTATTCCATGTGTGCTGTTTTAATAAACTGAGACTGGATAAATTGAAAGTTATAGAAATGTATTCCTCATGGTTGTGGAGGCCACGGAGGCCGGGTCTAGCTTGTGCAAGGTCCTGGCTCAAGCATCTGGGGCTGAGCCCCGTCTCAGCACCTAGGTGGCATGGTGGACACTGAGTCCTCACGCAGCAGGAGGGACGGTGGCCATAAAGGCCTGGCTAGTTCCCTCCAGCCCTTCATGAGGTATGATCTTCACCCAATAGGACAGAGCCCGCACAGTACAAGCATTTCCTGAAGACCTCACTGCTGAATACTATTGCATGGACAATTCAGTTCCAAAAGGAATTTCTTAAAGGACAAACAATAAAAGCACAAGCTGAGTCACTGGGCACGGTGGTGCGTACCTGTAATCCGAGCACTCAGGAGACTGAAGCAGGAAGATTGCCACAAATTAGAAGCCAGCCTGAGCTATGTACACAGTAAGTTCAAGGCCAGCCTAAGCTACATAGCAAGTCTCTATCTCAAAATAACAAAAATAGGGGCCAGCCAAATAGCTCAGTGGATTAAAGCACCTGCAAGCAGGTGCAGGGGCTGGGAGTTCAATCCCCGGGCCTGCTGTGCCAGCCCCATCTCAGGGCATGCTGAGATGGCGATTGAGACTGGGTATGGTGGAGAACACCTGTAATCCCAACACTTGGGAGGCTGTAAACAGAAAAATCACTATGAGTCCAATCTAGTAGTGAGACCCTGACCACCCTGTAGACCCTTCCCTAAAAAAATACAAAAACAAAAAAACTGAAGTGTTTGATCAGTCCTTAATGGGACCAGGAAGATAGCTGAGTAGAATAAGCACTTGCCTGGCAAGCGCAGGGTCCTGAGTTTAATCTCCAGTACCAAAAAAAAAAAAAAAAAATACAGGCCAGGAAATAGCTCAGTGGCGTAAGTGCCTGCCCGGTGGTGGCCCACCACAGTCCACAGGGGCCCTTGCACACATGGGTGGCCTGTGTGCCTTAAGTCTGTGAGTGGGATCTTGCAGGTGTCTGTGCACCACCCCACATGGGGTTAGTGCTCACAGCAGCTTTAAAACCAAGGTCCAAACTGGAAACAACCCAGTGTAACGAACATGGACAGGAACCAGTGACTAGTACTCCTTCATAACAGACTTAAGAAGATGCTTCACAGTAGCATAGGGACTAGCACAAGTACTGAAAGAAACCCCAGGGAGAGCACGAGGATTCCTGACCTTTGTTTGTTGTTGTTGCTGTTGTTTTGGTACTGGGAATCAAACTCATGACCTCAGGGCCGGCCAGATAGCTCAGCAGACTAAAGCGCCCACTTCGGCAGAGTGCAGTGGCTGGGGTTCAATTCCTGGCATTCCATGCTGGCCCCACCCCAGGGTGTACTGAGACAGCGTTCAAGACTGGGCGTGGTGGCGCAAGCCTGTAAGCCCAGCACTTGGGAGGCTGAAAACGGGAGAATCACTATGAG